TTTTTTGGTCACGAAAACACAATTATATATATTTATTATTTTATATGGGTTGATTGGGAAGATTTGAAATCAGTGCTACTTTCGTAGAAATGCAATGAAGATGACTTTACGAATAAAATACTTTTTATCTATAAATTAAGTTGTACCTAACAAACATTGTGATTGTCTCTTCTTTGTTTTTTTTTTGTCATCATTGTGATTGTCTCTTTTGATCGTTTTTTTGTTTTTTGTCAAAAAGATTTTTCTATTAATTAAAAGTCGTGGCCCATTGCATATCCAAGATCCATTTTAGCTAAATGATCTACTTTTTGATTTGCAGTTCGGGGAATGTAATTGAAAAGAGCAGAGATAAAGCTTTTCAAAGCTAAGCGAATATCTTGTAAGGTTCCATGAATCTCTGAAATCGAAGAACCGTTGTTGATCGCTCAGATTGGCTGCTGTGAATCGGAGTTGAAAACCAACGATTTGTACTGCATAGTTGATGCCTGAAGAACTGCAGCTCTCATCGCCAACGCTTCGGCTGCTAACGCAGAGGACAAATAAAAATCAGATCCGGTGTGTTTCACTATGGAGGAGGAAGACTCGAAAGTCCATCCGAATCCAACCATGTTCGAATCGGCCATTCAAGCCGCATCGGTGGAACAATTGATAAATCCGTCCGTGAAGGATCGCGTTTGATCGTTATTATTGCATAACTCATATACGAAATCAACTAAACGACGAGGCTAAAAACAATATCTAGTTAGCACTTTGCACGTGTGATATACCGATATACTTAAAGCATTGCATTTGGACCTTAAGAACTCTTTTAAATTTTAATTTATCACATAATTGTAACAAGTTTATGTCTTATAATAAAAAGGGTGCTGATATCGTATTTAAACAAAATAAATAGGTAAGGGAAATAAAAAAGAATTATCTTTACATAAAAACAAAAAAGAATGGACCATTTTGTTTTTGTTGATTTATTATTACCACCATATCATCGCTGCGTCGCTTGTCAAATCTTTTTGGGATTTGATTCTTGTGTGAAATTTTCACATTTTCTTTTAAAAATAATAATCACATTTTAATACTATTTTTCGTATTTACTTCGGATAAAAGACAATCACACGAGCTTTTATATTAGTCTTATTGGTAACCGAAAGCGGTATAAATTTTTCAACTGTATGCTGGATCTGTAAACTGTATAGCATAATATAAAACTGTAAAAAAAAGTTGTACAAATAAAATTGAATGTAATGAATATGATAAAGTTTTTGTGATTTATACAATCTAAAACGTTACAAATTATTAAATGGCGGAATGTTTAATAGATTTGTTACCAATCTGAAGATTACACATACGCAGATGTGTTAAGTTCTAAATTTTCTTTTGCTTTGTCAAACTCTTTAAGTTTCAGATTTACGCTTATAAGTACAAAAAGGATAGTAGTTGTTCAAAAAAAAAAAAAGGGGATAGTACAATGCACGTGTCTTTGGTACGTCCATACAAAATTTGGATTGAGAGACGACGAAGACAGACGACACGAGGAACAACCAACGCTATATAACTTGGACCATTCTTTATGTATTTTCTTTCTTAAATATTTGCGACCTTATTATCAATGTCGCTTTTTGTGTTTTTGTTTCACACCCTAAAAACCAAAACATTTATATTCAACAGATTTATTCATTTACCAGGAAATTATGGCTCTTTAGCTCATATTAAATGTAAAGAAAAACTCATATTCCGTTCGGATCGGAGACTATAAATAAGTGATGGTTAAATTACTAATTTATGGCTTAGCAGTCATTCAAAACAAAAATTCCTCTACATGACCCTCCAAATTAATGCACCATCTAAGCTATTAACACCGAATCATTGTTGTCTTTTTCTACTATAT